ACCCAAGGGTGCCTGCACCCCAAAAACCCCTGAGACTGCAAACAACTCGCCCCAGCACAGAGAGGTAGCAAAATGGTGAAGGGATTTCTCTGCGGGGGAAACTCAACCGATGCTCTCGGCACCCGCTCTGCGGACACGGGGGCATAAATGTCACGGTGGGGCTGGCGGCTCTGCAGGGTGGACGTGGCTGGAGCTGCTGGTAGGTCTTTGTGCTGGGATCACCCGCCAGCCGTTCAGCCTCCGACAGTCGATGGAAAGCAGAGATCCGCGCTAGGAACTGGGGGCTGCTGCCTGCCTGTCCCCACCTCGGCTGCCTGCCTGTCCCCCCTCGGCTGCCTGCCTGCGGGCAGGGCCCTAAAGCGAAGGCGTTGGGCTTGGGTGCGGAGGCGGGAGCGCCAATATGTGGTTTAATGTTCAAAGGCTGCGCTAGAAATTGTGGATTTCTAGTAAATTGGGGTAAACCCTCCAGTGGCACCCTCCATTCAAAAAGCTTGTGTGACACCAGAGTTTAAAGCTTAAATTACCCAGCTTTAACCACACGAGTGTAACCGAAGCGGCATAACCTTTGGGTGAGAATATCGGTGCGGCGTGCCCTTGCTGTGGTGTGACGGGGTGCTGCCGGAGGTCGCTGGGGTGGAAAAGTCCGACCCCTGCCTGAAACGGGGCGCACGTTTTGTACAAAGTAGGGCCTGGGCTCCTCTTTTGCAAAGTGGGTTTAGTCTGTGCTCAGGGAGCTGCAAATCTTAATTAAGATCCTTAAAAGGACAAAAGGTGCTACATAAATTCAGGGGATTATTATAAATGTCACTGAGCTTTACAAGCTCTGGCAAAACTCACGGGAGGAATAACAAGACCTTTCACTTCACAGCCCTTCCTAGCAGGGCAACTTACAGCTTCACGCTTCAGCACAGCAGCCGTAAAATGTTGACATTTATAATTAGATGTGCATAATAATCTCTTTATTCCCGAACTGAAAAGACAGGGTGTGTCTTGAAACGTCAGTTGCTCCTCCTTGCCAAGGATCCCCCTTAGTGGGCTTGCTCACGAAGCCATCATTTGGCGAAATGTCTCAGGGCCTGGTTCGAAGAGGTACTGGATCTTTGCGGCCCCCCCAGGGAGCTGTGGGCTGGGCACTTAGTGAATAAAATCAAAGTCTCTGTGTGGTTTTAATCTGATTAGTTGATGATAATCCAGCGGTATCGTGCAGCAAAAGCTGTCCAGTTTTATTAGGCAGTCTCTTGTTTTAAGAGAACCGTGCTCGAGGGAGCACTCGGCTCTGTTTCTGTTGAGGGCTGGCAGAAATGGGTGATTTTTGTGCTTTTAGTGCTTTGTGAGAGTAGGATTAATTTGGGGCTCGGACAGCTGGGGCTCAGTGGCTTTTGGTCCCGCGGGTGCCATCGGTAGCTTTGTGCAGCCCCTCTGCCGGGGTGGTCGGTGGCGGAGGGGGCAAAGGGCTGAGCGGGTCGGACTGGGGCTGAAGGTGGGGGGTTGCCCCCGGGCCCGGTCCTGGAGCACCGGGTCGAGGACGGGGGATCGCCCCCGGAGCAGCGGGGGTCGGTCCCGGATCGAGGAGGGGGAATCGCTCCCGGGGCCGGTCCCGGAGCACCGGGTTGAGGATGGGGAATTGCCCCCGGGGCTGGTCCCGGAGCGCTGGGTCAGCCCTGGATCGAGGATGGGGGATCGCCCCCCGGGGCCGGTCCCGGAGCACCGGGTCGGTCCCGGATCGAGGATGGGGGACCTCCCCCCGCGGCCGGTCCCGGAGCACCGGGGCGGGCCCGTCCCGGCCCGCTCCCG